ACTAAATTTTTTTGGTATTACTACGTTAAAATCTAGACGTTCAATCCAAGATTTGAACACGCTATATAAAATTATAAACGCAAAGTGGGATGCTATCGATCTATTAGGCCATGTTCCGTTTAAAACAGGAGGTAATAAGAGAATATTAAAATTATTTCATGTACCTTATTGTAATAACAATGTAACTTTTAATGATCCTCTCTTCCGCATGTGCAGACTGTATAATGATTGTAATGAATTGGACATTTTTGCTTATAATTTAAATTCTTTTCTTAAAATGGCAAAAGAAGTGTCTGAGTTTAATATATAATTGTTCTCATTTTCTATAGTTATTATATATAATGTTGAATCTAGTATAAGCTAACGCTGTGCGTAGCAATTAATGGTATACAATTTTAAAACAATTAATTATAAAATTCATTATATTTAATTTAATGTGAATTGTAATACTGTTGCTGTGCCCAAATAAATAAATAAAAAAAAAAAAAAAAAATACTGCGTAGAGCAATTCGAACTGAGACCAATAGAGTGATAGGTGTATGACTTGACTAGGTCCGTGTCACTTTGAACAAAAACAATTTTGTGTGAAATGTATGCAACCAGAGAACTGATTTGAAAATTTAACATGTTCACGCCGGCGCGGGCCTCCGGTGGCCCGCGTTAGACTGTCTCATTGGACGGCGCGTACCACCGGTGGCCTGCACTAGACTGTCTTTTCTGGCGGCGCGTACCACCTATGGTACGTATTCGATGATGAACCGTAGCATCAATTAGAACGCCACATCGCAGCAAAAAACATTAGTCGGCCCCGGCGTGAACGTGTTAAAGCATCTAAGAGTTTTACAATACCTTTCGATATTCATATTTAGAATAGAGCCATATTATATTTTAGTCAAAACTAAGTGTTGTATGAACACCATAAATATTCATTATCATTATATTGTGTTGATATTTCTGAGTGTGAGTGGTTACTGGTTACATAAGCATGGGAAAAAGGTCATGTTTAAGCCATCTCCTTGTAGCATTATTAGATGACTTGTGTTATTTATTATATTGTAATACTTATGGAGCGTATCACACTAGACACGATCACATACTTTTGTATTATTTAAAAACATATACAAATAATTATATTAAAAGTACAGTCAATTTGAACATTAGAAATTAATTAAGCAACGTTGATTGAGCGCGTGTCTGGATGGGTAATAATTCTATTATATTTAATTCTTCATAGTCATCTCGAATCATATTTTAGATTATAGAAAATGAAGAGTTTGTACGTACTTAAAATCATAGAATATGGCATTATTTTCATTTATATTCAATAACTTTGAGACCTTATGCCTATAGTAGACGCAAGCCAATTATAACTTTATTGCATCGCTGTTTGACGTTTTTGCCTTATTGGCTTGTTATAGTGCGTTTATGGTATAAATAACATTTTTTTGCTATTACAGGTTTATGATCGATGGTTGCTATCTAAGTTATAGTCATATGAATTATTTTTTTTTATAACACAGGGCCAAATAAGCAGGCGTCTCTTTTGATGGTAAGTGATTACTTAGATACACCGCCCAACAGCATTAAAGGAATTTTAGGTGTGATTCCGGCCCATTGAAAAGGCCTTTTCTTGAAGATTAAGATTTGGTATCGGTTCGAAAATACTACTGCTGGTAGTTTTTCAACCAACCAACAGACGTTCATGAAGTAGATAAATACATATGTCAGCTTAAGAATGACAGTGCTCCCGGTCCAGATGGGTTAAGGCCCACCTTACTTAAGGCAATTAGAAAAGAAATAGTGGTTCCATTGACTCATATCATCAATCTCAGTCTATCAAATGGAATTTTTCCAAAACAATGGAAAAAACTCTGGTAATTCCGATACACAAAAACGGTCCCAAAGATTGTCCAGAAAACTACAGACCTATATCGTTGTTGACTATGTACTCTAAAATACTTGAAAAAATTGTAAATAAAAGGTTAATGGACTTTATTGAAATTAATAAAATAATCAGTGAAAAACAATTTGGATTTAGACGTAGTAAGTCAACAGAAGATGCAGTTAAATTACTTACAGATCTTATTTCTAAGCAACTTGATAACGGAAAAAAATGTGTTAAGGTATTTTTAGACCTCGCCAAGGCTTTTGATACTGTGTCAGTGCCTATTCTCTTGAAGAAACTTGAAAGCTGCGGTGTTAGAGGTATGGCTCTGGAATGGTTTCATAGCTACCTAAGCGATAGATGTCAGTGTTTGAGAGTTGGGGAATCTGTGAGCGAAGAACTATCCATCAATTTCGGCATTCCACAGGGAAGTGTACTTGGTCCGACGCTTTTTATTCTGTATATGAATGACATTCACTATGTAATCTTGCCTTCTGCAGATATCATTTGTTATGCCGATGATACAGCAGTAATTTTTAGTGATCACAATTGGGAATCCACAGTAAAAAATGCGGAAATAGCCGGATAGTAAGGCGCTGATCATTAATAATTCGAGCTGCCTAACGTTGAAAACGGTCTAATGGCAGAGGTTGGTACTATGGTGCTCTAGCCCAGAGGTGAGAACAGTATTCCATATGTTGGCGGACTTGAGCTTTGTGTCGACGTGAAATATCGTCTCACTCTACTAAGCACAACTAACTTTTTGAATGCTATCTTAGTCTACCTACTCACAAATAATCGCTAAACTGGTTATCGCTGGATATATCAACGCCAAGCATCACCAGACCCATCTTAATATTAAGGACTTCCATTAATGTATAGATTTGAAACTGGGGTGATACGACAAACGGTGTTTTTTTTAAAGCCTGCGCGTTTATATTTCACAAAACTTATTATTTCTTGTAATACAGGGTATATAATGGTATATTTTTATGAAGTAATCTAGACTATTGCGCGGATGAAGTCGCGGACACAATTAGCGTTATAATAAATAGCAATCAAGTCCACACGTTTGTAAGGCCGAGGTGTTCCCTGCAGTAGGCTATATATGTTAGGGATATTAATACCACAGATAATATAATACTATACTAGCTAATACTGACTACAAAAACTGATTGACTACGTAGATATATATTTTTGAGTGACAATGGTATGGTAACCGCGCCTGCGCTATCGGTATACACTGGCGGGGCACCAGTGATGGATGACAGATGAGGATGAAAGCAGGTCAGTTTGCCCATCCTGACGTAGTCAACTAGAATTAAACACGAGGGTTTCCAGGGGGAACCAAGCGGAAATCGACCTGTTAGGGTATATTGCTAACAATGGGGTTATTTGACCCCATTAATGACAATCTAAGTTTAGGTATACAGGGCTCTCACTTTTCAAGGCGCCTGAAAGAAATTGCTGTTCAGCGATAAGGCCGCCTTCAGTTGCATATTTATCTTACATGTGTGTAATAAAGTTTTGTTAATATTATTCATTTTGTTTGTGTACGTATTGTTATTGTGTAATCTTTACAACTAGTATAATTTGTAATTGTTAAACACATTAAACGCTATTATAATTTATAATTATAAACAAATCTCTTTCCCCTGCACGTAGAGCTGTTGACCGCTCCCGTTAGAGATTATAACTGATGAGGTACTTTTAACGAGACTTTAATAAGGAGCTTCTCTCTTTTTAAATACATTTCAATGATTCATTTTATAATTGAGACTGTGTACTCCTGTGTTGGTTCCATATTAATGTTGCCACGATTGAAGTAGGTACCCGGTAATTGATTTAAATTAAGTAGGTAGGTCGTTACGAGATATCATAATTGATTAAATCATTTTCTAGGAAAAATATCGTTCAAATTAACATATTTCATTTTATATAAACCTGTATATATTTATATTTATGACGACACGCATAGATAGGTACATGCAATGACAGACTGTTAATTTCAAGTAAAATTCCACATGCAAATTGTCTAGTTTCACATACATAGATAAACTAGGTAAGTATTTGGTAATTAAAACAATAATTGGCTCTTTTGTATCCAGGTACGTTTCTTGTTATAAGGCTGTCCGTGTACGACCGTGAGTACTAATGTTTTACTGTAACAGAGTACTTGGACACCTAACGCCACAGATAATATACTACTACTACTAACACAGATACTACTAACGCCTACCAAAATGAAAAAAAACACTATGAGTACCATCCTTACTGGTTATGTATAATAAAATCGTAACTGGTCGCTATCTGTACATGGAAGATATATAAGAGAAACTATTATAGGATAGAGGTTTTATGAACGCAATAGAATCCAATACAATGATTTTTTTAGAATTTTTGTTTCTCTGTACGTTTGTGCACGCTAATCTCAGAAACGGCTTAACCGATTTGAATACGGTTTATAGTAATGCATTGCGGTTTGCTCCGCTTAACATTTAGTGTTTGTTTTATTTCAATTGGTTCATAAATAAAAAAGTTATATCAATCTAAAGAATCACATTTGAAATGTTATGAAATAACCGATTAGTAAAATTGGTTGAAAGTTTATGAACGTATTAGGTACGCCATTGTCATTTAAGTATATAATACAATGAGGACTGAGTGATTGTTTAGAGGTCGTAGCTCTAATGTAAGTTAAGCAACCCCGGCCGTGGTTCCTACTAGGATGGGTGGCCACTATCCGTACTATATGGGATGGAGGCCTCTTTTTATCGCGGTCAGTAAATACGTCCCGGCCATGCGGACCAAGTCGCGGGCGAAAGCTAGCCCTGTTATAAGGACGAAGTAGCGGGTAAAAACTAGTTGTGTATACATCAACAATAATTATCGTAAAGATCCGAAGAGTGCAGTGACATTGCAGAGTTACGCTTATTACGCACATATTCAAAAGTTACGTACGAATTAAAATTCTGCGTAATAATGACAAATAAATAAGAGAATTTATTTTGATACTACTCGGCCTTGTTTCATAAAAACACATACATTTTGTTTATGATTAATATACTTGGCTCTATACATAAAAAAACAAAATAAACAACGTAATTATACTTACAAATGACACGAGAATGTTGCAACACTTGTAAGATGCAGTCGAGTAATTACACGAGTCACTAATTTGTCAACAACAACACTTTCAAGTATTCCGAACTCGACGAGAAACAGTAAGGGAACTGTCCGCTCCACTCGTGATTGCAGTCGATGTCAATCCAATTCACGGCCGGGCACTGGTGCAGGAGCAGAGCGGCCGAGCCAGATATCTCGTCGCGCGGATATATCGGAGCGCGGCGATAGAGTGCACGCGTACGATGAAAACGAGCGGCGCGTGTGCAGCACGACGTCGACTGCGCGAGACGCGACCCGAGCGGCGCGGCGCTCGCCCGCTCTACTCTCCGGAGCACGTGGCGCCCCTGGCCAATACTCAAAGACAAACAACACAATTATATCGACGTAACTAATACCGATTAGACTTGTTTAATTATAATTGTAGCATCCGCGTCGCAAACGCAAATGATTCCCTGGGCCGCTACGTCATCACCAGTGTCCACACAAACACTATCGCTAGCATAGCAGAGCAGGGCCATAACTAATACGATGCACGAGAGTGTCTCTTCTAGATAAAACTATAGCAGTGTCAAACTTCGAGCCGACCGAGAGATCCATTCAAAAAATTGTATATATGCTGGTTTTCAACGAATTGTCGTGTATGACTCTAGTGCAGATGAATCTCACCGAAGTAGAACGTGTGTTAGTCAGGATCATCGCGGTGCACGAGGCTCCGGTGGCTGTTCACGCTGTACTCTTCAGGCCGGCGTTGCGTGTATGGTAGCTGTGGATATAACGGTCACGAGCTCGCCAATCCTTTGTTGGCGCGGCTTGGCATAATACGCCATAACCATCCATGGCATTGAACTTGAATAGTAAGCGCGCTAACTACGAGTATTGGTTACAGACGGTTGGGGAAGTTATGTTAAAGACAACGTATATACGCTTTATTGTTAAAAATTTCGTAAGTACACATTATATTTTAATATAATGACTACTGGTTCAACTAACGTGTAATTTTATCGAGAAAACTCGACTAGTTTCGGAACCATGCACAACACTTAGTTTTGAGCGGCTGTGACGTAATAATAATATGTAAATTAAACCGGTAGTTTCTTCTCTCAATCGTTGACCGTATTATGTTCACTCACCCACGGATTCTTCAAGCTTAGCGTGAAAGATCACTTTCACGCTAAGCTTGAAGAATCTGTGGTTAAAGATTAAAGGAAGTGGTCACGGGAGAGGCCATTCTACAGTATTACGGTAGAGTTCACATCGAAGTTCGCAAGCTTATTAGTATGCAAGCATAGGGTTGCAATATCTGATCCATCCACTTGGCGAGACAGGGTAAAATAAAATAAGGGAATGTTGCTTTTCCGAGCACCTCCTATAAAAATAGTGCAAGGAGACATTGAGAGAGACTACAAATGTACGTAATTGTAGTTTTTTTTTTTGATGGGTGAAAATGGTATGGTAACCCCGCCTGCGTTAACGGGATACGCTGGCGGAGCACCAGTGAAGGGTGAAAGATGAGAATGAAAACAAGTCAGTTAGCCCATCATGATGAATTCATCAGGAATTAACCATGATAGTTTCCAGGGAGAACCGCAAGGAGGTCGACCTGGTTGGGTATATTGCTAGCAATGGGATTCTCAGTCTCCATTACTAACAATCCCTTTCCCCCCGTGTAATTGTAGCAGTTCCAGAGTACTTACCATATTTAAAAGTTTTTACCAGACCTAAATTAAATGAATGAACGTTATCGTTGGGCTTAATGACAAATCTAAGTTTTAAAATAGGTATGTACTTAGAGTGTATTACAGAATACAATATGAAGTTGCATTTTGTGCCCCGGTGTCGTCCGGGAGGATGGTGCAATACTGTGTTGCGTATTGAGCTGCATTTTGTAAATCGCTTGTCGAGTTCCTCTACTTTTAAGCACATCATTATGGTCCGTCTGTATATTTCTTTCTTTTGTTGCCTTGTTTAGTTTTGTTTTCCAACTTTCTCTCGCGCTACTTTTCGCGCTTATTACTTCCTATCCTATTGTTTGTTTATCGTTGACTGGAAGAGATTGCTATTAGTGAGTTTAGTTGTTTCATTGTTACTTCTTAGTGCCATATTGCCATAACCGATCACTATGAAATTTCATATACACGTACCATGTGGGGTGGAGAAATAGATAGGCAACTTTTTATTTCAGTCAGTCAATATGTTCTCGTCACACGAACGAAGTCGCGGTTAAAAGTTAGTACCTAATAATGTAAAGTGCCAAGAGCCGACAATCACGAGCTCACAAACGAGCAGAACTCTTTGATCACGCCATTAATATAGTAATATAAACTACCCTCTTTCTTACGTTTTGTAATACAATAAAATGTAATTTATTGTAATCATTTTAGATTATAATAATAATACGTAATTGCATGTTAATCTTGAGAACTTCTAGCAAGGGGAGCGGACATAGTTCTTAGACTTATCATTAGAGCCACACATTGTCCACTGTTTAATATAGGCCTCCCTCATGTACAGACACAAAAACCACATCGTAGGAAAGGCCCGGGGGAAGGAGGAGGGGGGAGTTGATTATGGGGAGGTGAAGGGATTATTAGCAATGTTGTCTAACAGTCCATTGCTAGCAATATACTCGAACAAGTTGATCTCCTCGTGGTCTTACTAATCCGTATAAAATTTGGGTGACACGTTCACGTGCAAGGGACAAGGCAACAAGTTAACCTAGACGCGATCGGTACACGTGTATAAGTTTAATGACGTAAATAAATTGGAAGTGGTGCGCCTATAGAGCGGCGTTGTTGTATTGACATGATATATTTATACCATTGTTATTAGGCTCGCGGTAGACGCAGACGCCGCGGGCGCGAGCTGGCGCCGGCGGCCGGCCCCCTCCGCTGTCGCAGCTAGTAATTAACGTTGCAAAATAAACGCCTCTAGCAACATTTCTATGTACATTCAAGGCTATGTCAAATGACTTCCCACATGAACACCGGTACCGTAATAATATAAAAAAAAACAAATAAGTTTGAGTAGAACGCGCATACCGGGGCTGTGGTATAAAAAATACATTACAATTAAACTAATTGATTAAGTACCTATTTAACCTATAATTTAGATTCATTGACTTAATCTACGTACACGAGTATTGTTATAATTATGTAATAATCAACTAATTATTAATGTTGCGTTGAGTAACCTCTTACTTTGTTTCTGTCTCTATTGTTGTGTACGGTTTTTGATAACTCTAGAAAACTTTGTTCGGTTAACAAATCGTGTATCTTTCCTGTAATATTTATATATTTTACATCATTTATAATTATTCATTAACTCAATGTCACGTTGTGTTTTTGAGGCATCATTTTGAACCCTCTCGTAAATAAAATAAAAAAAAAAATCCCACAAAGTTAGATGAATTATGAAAAACTATTCTAAATCACAAACCGTTAGCATCGGTAATTGGCAAAATATCGACAAAATACCGATACGACATCATAACTTTAAAGAAAAAAGCATATTCCTTTTTAAAAGGCCGGCAGCACACCTGCAATGCTCTTGGTGTTGTGGGTGATCATGTGCGGCGGTAGCCACTTACCATCAGGTGAGCCGCATGCTCGTTTGCCCCCTGTGTTGTAAAAAAAATATAGCGATAGATAGAAATGGAATCCTATGACGCATATTATGGAATTATCCACTTATAATTAATGAGAACACAATAATGCTGGACTTATAAGTGAGAGTGTTGTGTGTATGTTGGAACAGGTGGCAGTGGCGGCGGGCCCGTCACGGCTCCACACAATAATTCTGTCACTGTGACACCATCTGCTTCAATAACATAATAACCACCTGCGTATGTCTTCATAACATACGTTCAAGACGTAGATCGCACTCATACGCTTAGTTGCAATTACATTAGGCGGTATCTGGTTGTAATAACTTTTACTTGTGCGTCTTTGTACAGTCATTCGACTTCTTCAGTTTTGTTATATGTATAGATACATACATACCTACCTATCAGAACATAGAAAAGTCACTGTTGAGTACAGGCCACATATATTATTTATAGCTATATATTATTATTTACCAAATTCGAAATTGACACGCGTATCTATTGTTTCCTTTTGGCTTTCCTTCTCGGCCCTAGTCTTCTAAGTTCCTTTGACTATTACATACATATTTCCAATTTCCATTCCTGGTTTCCTTTGTCGTCCACAGTCACTGTAAATGCGATAAACAATTAAAGAGTTATAAGAAATTCGATATGAAAGAAATAAAGAAATATTGTTATTGAAGTAAACTTAGATTTAAATATTTTTGAATAGTCATTATTGTTTTCATTACCGCCCATTCGGAACGCAATTTCAGCCAAGAGGAACGGGCAACAAACTCAGCTGTGGCTTTTTTTAAAACTTTAATTATATAAATAATGAATTTGTGTGAATACAGATTACTGAAATCAAAATATATCGGTACGAGAACATTTGATCGCCACCAGACATGTCCAGCCACGCACGTGATAGACATTTTTAAATGGAATTGTGTGAATGCAGTAGTTTCTACGAACTGTTGGTGTGAGTGCGTCGTAACTCGCAGCTACGTTGACGTACTGCATACGAGTATTATTCAAAATGACGCGTGTCATTAGCATATTTGTTAAAATATTTCTTATATTTCTAAAAAATAAAAATATTATCACTTCTGTATTTTTTATGCTACTGAGGTGGCAAATAAGCACACGGTGCACCTGATTAGTACGTAGTTACATTAGCTTATGAACGCTTTTGCATTTGCTTTATTTTATTGGATTAGTTACAAAATGACAAAGTTATAGTACTTTATTGGAATGGTTTGCTCGCACTTTGAAGAGCCTAAAGATATTTATTGAAATTATTATATCTAGGGTGAATAATCTAGGATGACAAAAAAATGCCAACACGGGTACAATTCCCTCAGCTATAATGTATTCTTTATCGTTTTTAAATTTGTTGAGTAGTTTTTGAGTTATTCGTGAAAAACTTTTATATTTTTAAACCTTTAAAAATATTCCTTTCACTCTACTTACCGGGGTGGAACTTTTTTTTACAAAGTCATCCTTTTTTTAATAGATAATAATGTAGTGGTAGCACCGACTCTGTTATCGGTATACGCTGGCAGGGCCCCAGTGAGAGATGACAGGTGAGGATGAAGCAGGTCAATTTGAATAGGTGATAATGGAATGGTAACCCTGCCTGCGCTATCGGTATACACTGGCAGGGCACCAGTGAGAGATGATAGATGAGAATGAAAGCAGGTCAGTTAGCCCATCCTGATGAATTCAACTTGAATTAACCACGATGGTTTCCAGGGGA